AGGGCTGGGTGGGGCCCGGCAGTGTGAGGCCAGAGCTCACCCTGTCCAGTCCGACGTCCGGCTGGTGGTGGCTCCTGGGTGCAGGAGGGCAGGGGCCCCAGGGCACGGGGGGTGTGGCCTGGTGGCACCAGGCTGTGGTGGGCATCTCTGTGTACACATGTCGGGCCGTGTCCACATGGGCTCCCGGGCGTGCGGGGAGGTGGCCGTGGGCACTGGGAGTCCTGTCAAGCCGCTGACTGTCCTGTCTGCTGTGGACGGTGACCCTCAGGGTGTGTCTCCATCTAGGGGCTGCTCACAGGGGGCTGGACACAGCCCGGGTGCATGAGGTGAGCCCCTCCTCCAGCTATTGCCCCCATAGCTCCCCTGGGGGCAGACACAGCATGGATTTCTTGGTGGCCTCCCTCTGCCCCCCCACCCCAAATGTCACTCTAGGGGGCTGGGCTGGCCTGGGACCCCTCCACACCCCATCCAGAGTCAAGGGAGAGGGCCTCACCCTCCCGGAGGTCACCATGACCTGGCCAGCATCCTGGGGGGGAGGGGCCGCTGACCGTGGCCTGGGAGGCAGGAACAGCCCCTCCCCCACGGTGGGGTTCCCACTTCCTCAGAGCCCAGCACTGGCCTGGGTGGGACGGGCTAAGTCCCCCCGGCTGACCTCACCCTCCTTCCTCGGGAGGAAGTGGCTGCTCCAGGATGGGTTGATGCCTCGGGCTCAGGGCGCTTGGGAAACCTGGACCGGAGACCCTTCGGCACCCGGGGCGGGCGGGGGGCTAGGTTGAGGGGGACTGTTTCTGGGGTGCAGGTGGGTGTGCTGGAGTGAGCCTGCCCAGCAAGGAGAGGGCCCCAGGACCCCCTTCCCAGCCCACAGCAGGTGGGGAGACAGGACAGGGCCCTGGGGAGAGCTTAGGCTGCCCCTCCCCACAGCTGCAAGCCTGGGCCTTGGTGCCTGGACTCCCCTCTCTCCTGGCTCTGTGCCTGCACCTCCTGCCCCTCCTGCCCCTCCAGCTCTGGCTCCTGCAGTTACAGGGCCCTGGGGACTACCCTGCCCCCGGAGGGCCCCAGAGCCCGGCCCCACGGGGGAGGGGCTGTCCTCCCTCCTCCTGGGACCAGGGTGCTCCCTGCGACTTCAGACCTGTGTTCCAGCCGCCCCTGTCCAGCCGCTGGCCGCCCTCGGGGGCGGGAGCCACAGGCTGGGCGGCAGGAACCTCCTGGGGCTGCCCCTGCCAGCGCCCCAGCCTCCCTGCCGATTCGGGGCGGGCGGGGGTCTGGGCCTTGACGTGCGAGGGCGGGCAGTTGGGCAGGGATAAAGCCAGGCTGGGGGCGCGGCCACCGAGGGACTCCAGGACCTTGGACTCGGGTGAGTGGCTGGGGGCTTCCGGCAGGCTCAGGGGGCCCTGGATAGGGGGGGGCCAGGGTGTGGAAGGGGGGGTGGCTGGAGGCCTGGGGGGGGGGTGGCTGGAGGCCCGGGGCGGATTTCGTGAGCAGCAGGGCTGGGACTTTTCCTGCTGTGCGAGCAGGGAGCTGGGAGCTCGGGGGGGTCCCTCAGGCAGAGGGGTGAGGGGTCACCTGGGGAGGGAGCCCCTCGCAGAGCTCAGGCTGGGCCACGTGCCCCCAGCCTCCCCGCGGTGGTCCCGGCCTCATGGGACAGGAGGAGGTCACAGGGCAGTGGGGACCGGCCTGGCTTTCGGCCATGGTTGTGCGGCCCTGGGCGCGCGTCCTCTTTTTTGAATGCGAGCGGTCACGGTGAAGGGGCAGCGGGTCACTACCGTCACGTCGGGAGTGGAATCAGGGCTTGGGAATGATGGCTCGGTACGGCGGCCTGCGTGGGGCTGGCCCAGGTCACCCCGTGATCATGTGTCCTTGGCGGTGCTGGGGGGCAGGAGCTGCTGCCACACGTGGTCCACGTTGGCATGGCCACTAGTCGAGATGGATTCGGCCACACCCTCTCCTGCACAAGTGTCAACCTTTGACCCATTCAGCAACCTCTGGGGCCATGTTACCTGCCCCCCACCCCCTGACCAATCACGGAGCCTCAGGGACACAGACACCCCCCCCCCCCCATAAGTGACGGAGCTTCTAATCCTTTTGACCCAACAACCTTCAGGCTCCAGCACAAAGCAGGTCACCCGCGCAGGTCGCTGTGGAGCCGGCAGCTTAGACCGCACCAGCTGTCAGCGGGTTCAACTGCCCCGAGGGTCCCGAAGTACCCAGGCAGGAGGCCGCGCCCTGCTCTGGCCGTGCCCCCGCCTGCCTGTGGAGGTGGCAAGCCCAGCTCTCGTGGGGGAGCCGTGGCCGGCCCAGCAGTGCTGGTGGCTGAGCACGTGAGGGTGGGTGGCTGCGGCGGGCAGGCGCGTGGTGGGCCGGTCAGCACCATGGCCCTCGGGCAGCACAGAAGCCCCGTGGGTGTGAGGGTGACCATGCGGGGCTGTGGGTCGGCTGCAAGCTCCCTGAGGGTCTTCTCCACCTCGAGATCCGGGCGGGTAGAATGGGTGCCAGGCCCCGTGGAAACGGAAGCCGGCTTCCTACAGCTCTGCTTCCAGGCCACCAGGGTGCCGGGACCAGCAGGAGGTGCCACCGCCTTGGGAAGTGGCTCTCCTCGCTGGCAGCGTCTCCATGTGCAGAGGAGGCCACGGGCCCCAGAGAGGGCCAGTGCTGGCCCTGGGTCAGAGCGGGCAGGCAAGCCCTGATGGTGCAGTTCTGGGCCTCAGGAGCAGCTTGTCTCCCCCCCCCCCCGCCACCTCCTCCAGGAAGCCTTTCTGGATTGCCTGATCCTCTGACTCTGGCTCTGCAGTGCCTGCCTGCGGAGCTGGTTCTGCTGGGAAGCTCCTCCTGCGGGTCCCTCTCCGGCAGGGAGCTCTCAGGAGGCCCCGGAGGGAGGGGCGGATAACGGGGAGCTGCCCAAGGCGGAAGGCGCTGCCAAGGAGTAGCGAGCAAGCTGGGGGTGCGCGCTGGGGATTAGATGGCGTAGGTGACCTTTGAGGTTCCTCTGGACCTTGGGGCTGAGATCCCGTGATGGGCCCTGGACAGCTCCCAGATCTGGACCTCTGCCCGGAACGTTGGGTCATTTGTGCACAACAAGTGGGGGGCCCTCCTGATGCCAAGCTCTGCGCGGTGGCGGGGGGGCGGGGGGCGTGGGCAGGGTGGAGTTGACAACCTCTAGGTCCAGCCTTCCCTGGGGCCCGGACTCTCCCCTCCGAAGGGCATGTGGCTGGAGGGAGAGGGGACAGGACGGGCGTGGGAGGGAAGGAGGCAGCAGCCATTGGTCAAGGAGGTGGGATGGGCCCTGGGAAGGTTTCCTGGGGGGCCGGGTAGGGGGGCCGGTGAGGGCTCGGACTGCCCAGGCCTCCCCTTCAGGCCCCCTAGCAGTGTGTGGACTGGGCTGGCTCTGGGAGGGTGCCAGGAACGGCTCCTGCCCGATAAAAATAGATTTCTCTGAAGGGCTTGGGGCTGTGCCAGGAGAGCAGGTGCCCCCCAGGCCTGGCCGGGGTGGGTGCCCCTGGCGAGGGGGGATAGGGCTGTGGGGCCCAGGTGTGCAGCCCGAGGAGCAGGGTGGGTGCCGTGTCCTGGGTGCAGGATCCCTGAGCTCGAGGGGACAGTCACCTGGACGAGGGAGGACGAGGCTGGGGGTGGGGGGGCGTTTGCCCAGAGGCCACGGCCGGGATGAGCGAACCCCAGCCCAGCTGTGGTCCTGTTTCCGGCTGTGAGGGGCAAGTGCCTGGAGCTCTCTGAGCTGCTGCGTTAGCCACAATACGGCGACAGCCTCGGTCACGGCGTGCAGTGTCGGCACCGCGCCTGGGGCGCCCTCAGCGACAGCGCCGGGGGAGCCCTGTGGGACGCCGAGTGTCCCGAGCTGTCTCAGGGGGCTGCTGCTGGAGGCGGGGCGAGGAGCACTGGAGGGGGTGCCGGCCAGGGGCCCCTCGGAGTTGACGGCTGATTGCAGGGGCCGGGCGGGCTGTCTGGGCGCTGCCCCGCCCCCCCCTCCCCCTGGTCTGAGGGCCTCTGGGCTGGCAGGGCAGGGAGCGCGGGGTCCAGCACGCTGTCACCCCACTCTTGGGGCGCCTGATCCCAGGAGCATTTGCATGTGGGAGCTTCGCCAGGACCCTGCGGATGGTTTTGCCTGGGAAAATCCTGGAGGGCCTCCTGGGGAGGACCAGCTCATGTGGGGACAGCACCGGCCCAGCCTTCCTGGGGGCCCTGTGCGTGGCTCCCAGCACCTCCTGTCCTGCTGCACACTGGGGGCAGGGAGGAGAGCGACAGCGCCCACACTCCACAGAGGTTCGGGGAGGGACGGTGGTGTGGAGCACATGGTAGGGGTGCAGGCCGGAGGGGGCCTCGGAGTGAGGCCGGAGCCTGAGCAGGAGGCTGAGCAGGTGGAGCAGGTGGACCTCAGGGCCAGGCAGGCGGTGCCTCATCCTGGGGTGCCAGCCTGGTTACCCCCTGGGGCCAGGGGCACCTCCTTTGCAGTGTCAGCGTTGGCCTGTGCAGCCGGGCCGGGTGGCTCAGGGGTTGGGCATCGACCTATGACCCAGGAGGTCACGGCTGGCTTCCCGGTCAGGGCACAGGCCCGGGTGGGGGGCTCCATCCCCAGTGTGGGGCGTGCAGGAGGCGGCCGGTCCATGATCCTCTCTCATCATGGATGCTTCTCTCTCTCCCTCTCCCTTCCTCTCTGACATCAATAAAAATATATTTGAAACAACAACAAATAAAAAAGAAAAAGTTGGCCTGTGCTGAGGGGCCCCCGGGAGCTCCCCCTTCCCCCCAGCCCGGATTCCCTGAGGCCCCGGGGCTGCGGGTCTCCCCTCTGCGTCCCGGGCAGGGAGCCCTAGGGTCCTGGGCGCAGGGGAGGCGGGGTGGGGTGGGGGGAGGCTGCGGGCCCGCCCCGCCCCGCGGTCAGCGCCCTCCCTCTGCCCTTGCGCTTCCCCTTCCTCCCGGCGCTTCCTCTGCGCTCGGCCCTCCGCCGCCCCTTTGTTTGCGGCGCGGCGGCCGCGGTTATATTTAGGCGGCAGGTGTGGGCGCCACAACAGGCCGGGTCGCCCGCCGGTCACCGGCCTCCCGCCCACGTGATGCCCGGGCGCCATAAATAGCCGGGCGCGCGGGCCGGCGGAGTCTCCGGGGAGCCAGCGCCCTGCCTTCCCGGTCTCCGCGCCCCGTCCGGCCCCCGGCCCGGCCCGGCCCGTGCGGATGGAGGCGGCGGCGGCGGGACGCCTGCGCGCTCGGGTGAGCGGGGCGCGGGGCCTGGCGGGGGGCGTGCCGGGAGGACCCCAGCCCCGCCCTGGGGAGGTGGCCGCCCCCTCGGAACCGGCCTCCGCGCGTGCCCGCCCCGGGAGCGCGCCCCGCGGGACGGGCAGACCCCACGCGAGCCCCCTGGCCCAGCCCTGCCCGCGGACCTCTCCGGGGGCGCCCCTGTGCCCTAGTCCTACCGCCGCCCCCAGATCCCACGGGCTCTGGGGCCAGAGGGCCGGGCCCTCTCGGCCACCCTGAGGTCCAAACCCGCGCTCATCCTCATCCGCTGAGACCCGGGAGGCAGGAGCCGGGCCTCGGGTCCCACCTCCGTGAACTGGGCTGGGAGTTGCGCTTGTCGCCTGGACTTGAGCTGGAGAACGCCCCGGGGAGCTCTGCTGGGAGGTCCTCTGTCCCGCCCTGGTCTCTGCAGGCGGGAGCTGAGGGGCCTCCCCAGTAGGCCTCCAGAGACAGCTGTTCTAGACGGGGGTGGGGGGCAGGGAGGGGATGGGCTCCTGGGAAAGGGGGTGGGCCTGGGGGTGGGGGCTGGTGGACTTGGTCTGCCCTGTGGGAATCCTGCTCCCAGACCTCGGGGAGGAGGTGTGGTTCGGAGGAGGCCCCTCCCTGGGGGTGGCCACAGGCCTGTTGAGCCCTGGGGCAGCCCTGTTGGCTGGGGGGGGGGGGGGGTCGGCTGGGAGCCCCAGACCCCGCAGAGACAAATTGGGGTGTGGCGAGAACCCAAGCCAGGTGGTGACCTTGGTCCAACCTCTGCCCCAGACCCCCTGGCCCTGGCCAGTTTAACCTCTGACCCCACTGACAAGTGGCAACTTCAGGCTCAAGTGGGCAGGAATGTGGGGCGGCTCTAGGCCCCTCCACGCCCAGTGGCCCTTGGCCCTGAGGACTTGCCCGGGATCCTGGGCAGCAGAGCCAGGCCAGCCGCTGTCGCCCACAGGGTTCCCAGGTGCCCAGCCACGGTGGGCAGGGAGGTGGCCATCGGCCCCTCAGAGAAGGGCCTGGAGGCTGGTGGCTTCCTTGGGCCCTTCTCCATTCTGGTAAACACCCATGCACGCGCGCACACACATGCACGTGCACACACATGCACACGCACGCACAGGGGACCTCCGCTGCCCCAGGAGGCACAGGTGTTTGTTCGCTGGTGTTCGGGCGTCCACAGCTGTCTCTTCCCGGCTCTGGGATGCAGGCTAGACGGCCGAGCCAGGGCAGGATTCTTCTCTCTGCCTTTCTCCCCCTCCTGGGCCACCACACCCCTGCTTAACCCTCCTGGGGTCTGCCCACGGGGGGGCAGGGTGCAGTGAGGTGTGGCATCCGTCCTGAGCCCGGGAGCGCAGCAGAGCTGGCCCAGAACATCCCGCATCTCAGGCTGGGGGCCCTCCCTGCACCTGGGCCGAGGCTCCAGGGGCCCTGCCTGCCTAGCGGGCAGCTGGAGAAGGGGGTGCAGGGGCGAGGGCAGAGGTAAGAGGTGGTGAGTTGGGGCACGGAGACCAGTGAGCTGGGCGAGTGGCTAGGAGTGTGGGCATGGCGCCTGAGTCACCTTAGGGGCATCTTGTTTGGCCTCTCATGGTGCAGATGGGGAAACCGAGGCCAGTGACATGCCCAAGGCCCTTGGCCCGCATGTGGGGTGTGAGTGGGGGTGCTGCTGTTGCTGGGGCCCAGGCCTGGGGCCTTGGTGCCCATGGTCCGGCAGCGTTCCTCCCCGGGTCCCGTCACAGAGTGACCCTGCTCTGGCCGCCTGCGCTGTCACCACCTGGGCATGTGCCCGAGGGCGGCCCGCTGGCTGCTGTGGGCTGCCCCGGCTCTCTGAGCTCTTGGAGGGCGAGCCCGGCTTGTTTACCCTGTGCCCGGCCAGCCCTGTGGGCACAGCAGCTGGGGTGGAGGCGCTTATGGTGGTTGGTGCCGAGTGGGGCCTCCTTCCCCTCCCTCAAGGGGTCCCAGCGCCCCAGCCTCCAGCCTGAGCACCGTCCCCTGAGGACCGGCCGCCCCAGAATCATCTGGCTCAGCAGTGCCACAGCGGACAGGGCCTGTCCTGGGGTGTGAGAGGGACCCTGAAATCCCCCCTCCCTCCGCGCCTGTCCGCTCCGTCCCGGTGGCTTCCTGTCCCCTCGGGGCCGTGGCTCAGCCCTGACAGGGGCTGTCCTTCCTGTGCTCTCCCATGGGGAAACTGAGGCCCGCACTCAGGTGGCAGGGCCCGGGGAAACCTCGCCGGGCTGGGAGGCAGGGGGCCCCGTGACCTCTGTCCTCATTTCCTCCTTGCCTCTGTCCCCAGACGTCGCCTGCTGACTGGCCTGGGATCCATGGAGAGGACCGGGAAGGGCAGCTCTGAGCACTGCCGTGCCCAGCATCGCGGCGCCCGCTGCTGAGGGGCCCCGCGCCTCTGGCCCCCACCATTGCCCTCGCCCGCCGATGGCATCCGCCCGGCCCAGGGCCACCTGAGCCGCCCGCGCCCTGCCAGGACTCGCCGTGCCCCCATGGGGTAACGTGACAGGACTGAGCACCACGCCGCCGCCGCCTGCCCACCGCTGCCTGCGACCCCACCCCAAGCAGCCCTTTCAGTTCAGTTCCAGTTTGGCTTCCTCTGGTCCTCGGGGCTTGGGGCCGGCCTTTGCGAGAAGGGGACTGGCCACCCGTCCACCGATGCCGGGACCTCGTCCCCTGCCACAGGCACCGCGCTGGACACGGACAGCACAGCCGGACGAACGCGGGGCTTTTTGACGATTTCTTTGCGGAGTTTCCGTGGTTATTTCTCTCTCGGCCCTTTTGTAATTCTCCGACTCTAAGAGGCAGGAGCCTGACGGCCGCTTCCCTTCCGGTGGGGGCTGCGTCTTCTTTTCCTTTTTTAAAGAGTTGAGTTTTGTATTCTAAGTATCCACGCACCGGCAGCGTCCTGCCCCCTCCCAAGTATTTGCACAATATTTGTGCGGGGTGTGGGGGCAGGTTTTTAAAGCAATTCCTCTCTCTTGGACAAGCACAGGGATCCGTTCTCGGGTGTGGGGGGCTGGGGGCTCCTCCGTCCGTGTCCCACACCGTCATGGCCCGCATGAACCGGCCGGCCCCCGTGGAGGTGAGCTACAAGAACATGCGGTTCCTCATCACGCACAACCCCACCAACGCCACCCTCAGCACCTTCATCGAGGTGAGTGGCCGGCGGGCAAGGTGCCGGCGAGCCTGGCCACGCTGCCCTCGGCCTCCCGAGAGCGACTTGTTGCTGTCAGCCCAGTGGGGGCAAAGCTGTCACCCTGGTTACCTGATGCCGCAGGGGGGGACTCCCGGGGAGCTCGGGGTGGGGCTGCCGGCGGATCCGCTGGCTCCTGGGGGCCGGCGTGTGGGCAGGTGGACTCCAGCTGCATGAACTGAGGCCGGTTCAGAAGCAGGGGGAGCAGCCCTGTGCCCTTTGCTGGCCTGTGGCCTCTGTAGGGGCTGAGCTGGAAGGAGGGGGAGGCCCCCAGGTGAGCAGCGGCCCTGAAACAGCCTAGAGTCAGGCAGGTGGGGGAGCGCCATGGCCCGCGCAGGCCCCAGGACGCCCAGGCTCTGGGGAGGCCTCGGTGAGGCCGGCGGGGCTGGGGCTTCCGGCCCTGCTGTCTGTGTGGGGAGCTGGACCGCAGCCGCCGCTGGCCACCAGAGAGCGACCGTGCCCTCGGAGGGTGGCCGGCGGCGGGTGTTGGAGCCCCAGCAGGTGTGGCCACGTGTGTCTGCAGAGCCCCCGGCCCTCACACGGCCTCCCTCCCTCCGGAGAAGCCTGGTGTGGGGCGAGCTCCCTGCTGCGTGCAGGGCCCACTGTGCACTGCCCCTTCCCCCTGCAGCCTGCGCCCCGGTCCTCCTCGCACAGGGACCTGGGCCTGAGAGGAGCGTGAGCATCGAATGGGGGGCAGTGGGCGCCCTGGACAGGGGCCAGGGGCCCTCAGGGGCTGTCTCCTCACCACGGAGGCCCGTGAGATAATAGGACCCGGATGATGGGGCGCAGCCCTCAGCCTGTGGTCGGGTCAGCGCTCCATGTGTGACCAGGGTCAGGGCTCAGAGTGTGACCAGGATCAGGGCTCAGGGTGTGACCAGGGTCAGGGCTCAGAGTGTGACCAGGGTCAGGGCTCAGAGTGTGACCAGGGTCAGGGCTCAGAGTGTGACCAGGATCAGGGCTCAGGGTGTGACCTGGGTCAGGGCTCAGGGTGTGACCAGGGTCAGGGCTCAGGGCTTAGTGTGAGCCCAGGGTCAAGGGTCAGTGTGAGACTAGGGCTCTAGGCTTTGACCTGGGTTGGTGGCAGCACCCTCTGCTGCAGGCACAGGGGACCCAGGCGCCCCATGGCCTCCAAGCCCTGCTCCCGTCCTGCTTCTGACTCCTCAGTGGTGTGGGGTCCGGCCCTCGCTGTGCCCAGTGTTCCTGTCGCATGATGAGCCGGTCCAGCAGCTGATGCCTCACCGTCCCCAAAATAGCTGCCGGGAGCAGGTGGGGTGGAGCCGCCCCCTGAGGCCGGTGGAGGGGACACCTGCCCCCCCCCCCCCCGCCGGGGTATAAATATCCCCGGGCTGGGTGTGAACTGCCCTGACCTTTCCCCGGGCTTCCCCGCTGGGGTGCGGGCCCAGCTCCTTCTGCTGCCCTCTCAGCCCGCACCCATTGCGCCCACTGTGCCCGCTGCGCCCACCTCGGGTGCCCTGCTCCCTCCCAGACTCCCAGTCTCAGTGTGGGGTCTGGGTGTGCCCCTTGACGGGCCCATTCATGCCCCTGGCTGGGAGGGCTGCCCAGAGAGGGGGCATGTGGGGGCCCACGTGTGGCTGGGGGCATCCCGTCCCTGTTGGGGACCCAGGAGGTTTGTCTGGTCTTCCTGGGTCTTGCTCCGGATAGGAGGAAGGATGGGCGGAAGGATAGGAGGAAGGATGGGAGGAAGGATGGGAGGAAGGATAGGAGGAAGGATAGGAGGAAGGATGGGCGGAAGGATAGGAGGAAGGATGGGCGGAAGGATAGGAGGAAGGATGGGAGGAAGGATGGGAGGAAGGATAGGAGGAAGGATAGGAGGAAGGATGGGCGGAAGGATAGGAGGAAGGATGGGCGGAAGGATAGGAGGAAGGATGGAGGAAGGATGGGAGGAAGGATAGGAGGAAGGATGGGAGGAAGGATGGGCGGAAGGATAGGAGGAAGGATGGGCGGAAGGATAGGAGGAAGGATGGGAGGAAGGATGGGCGGAAGGATAGGAGGAAGGATGGGAGGAAGGATAGGAGGAAGGATGGGCGGAAGGATGGGAGGAAGGATGGGAGGAAGGATGGGAGGAAGGATAGGAGGAAGGATAGGAGGAAGGATGGGCGGAAGGATGGGCGGAAGGATGGGAGGAAGGACAGGAGGAAGGATGGGAGGAAGGACAGGAGGAAGCGACAGGCGGGAGGCTGCGCACCGTGAGCCTGGGCAGGATGCCTCCTGCTGGCGGCCGGGGCGCAGTGGCCAGGGCACCAGGAGAGACTTGCCCCCAGCAAGTCATGAAGCCTAAAAGGCCACTGGGGTTCACGGTGCACGTGGGTCTTTCTGTCTCACTGAGCAGGGGAGGGGTGTGGGCTGAGGGGTGTGGGGGGCAGGCATGGCCCTCCCCCGGGGCTTCTGGCCTCTGGTGGCGGTGGGGGGGTTCCAGCCCTGAGCCCTGCAGCCCCGCCCAGCTCAGCCCTGCCTCCTCCCTCCCCCCGCCCCCCAGGACCTGAAGAAGTACGGGGCCACCACCGTGGTGCGCGTGTGCGAGGTGACGTACGACAAGGCCCTGCTGGAGAAGGACGGCATCACCGTGGTGGTGAGGCTCGCGGGGTGCTGCCCGGGGGGGCCTCCCTGTCGGGGGGTGAGGCTCGCATGGTGCTGCTGCCCCGGGGGGGCCTCCCTGTCGGGGGGTGAGGCTCGCGGGGTGCTGCTGCCCCGGGGGGGCCTCCCTGTCGGGGGGTGAGGCTCGCGTGGTGCTGCTGCCCCGGGGCGGGGCTCGGTCTGACTGGACGGTGCTGTGGGGCCGGCACCCGGGGTCTCCCTGCGTGCCGCCTGCCACCCCCGCCTGGTTGTGCCGGGCTACACATGTGCTAGGACACTTCTCGGGGAGGCCCAGGCCTCGGGCTGTGTGACCTCCATGAGTCACCTCCTCGGCACCCGCTTCCTCCCGCCCCGCAGGGCCTCCCCGGCACGGCACCCGCTGCCTGTGTGGGGCCGTCGCTGGGCAGCGGGAGCAGCAGGGAGGCGGGGCCCTGGGGAGCCCGGCTGGGAGGCCGTGGGGAGGGACCCTTGGGCCGTTTCCTTGGTCCCTGGCCCTGGGGACCCGCGTCCCTGCAGAGGGAGGTGGCTGTGCCGGGGCTGCCCTGGCATGGCTGGAGGCACAACGGGTGCCCAGCAGGCCCCGCCCAGCTCTGCAGGGGACCCTCAGGGGGTGCTGGCCACGCAGGACCGTCTTGGGCGGTGGTCACTGGGAACCTCTGCTCAGCGCTGGGGGGCAGAAGGACCTGGGGCTTCGGGGTCCCAGAGGCCGGGCCGAGTGCCGCCTCTGCCCCTTCCCGGTCTGCGCCCCGGGTCCTCGCTGTACAGTGCGGGGCTTGGAAGCATCGAGGCAGGGCGTGCCTGGGCCTCTTAGCACAGGAGCCCGCGGCCCCTTCTCCCCGCAGCAGAGGACGCGGTCAGGCCCAGGCAGCCAGGCAGACGCTTTCACCGGGCGTTGCCGCGTCTGGAGTGGGGGACAGGCTGGCTGGGCCCCGGGCCCCCCCTGGGCAGAGTCCTCAGGCTCCTCTCTCTGCAGGACTGGCCCTTTGATGATGGGGCCCCCCCGCCTGGCAAGGTGGTGGAGGACTGGCTGAGCCTGCTGAAGGCCAAGTTCTGCGATGACCCTGGCAGCTGCGTGGCCGTGCATTGCGTGGCCGGCCTGGGACGGTGAGCGGGGCCAGGAGGGGGCTCGCGTGGACATGGGGACCTCGTGGTCTGACTCGCTCTCGGATGTGGGTGCGGAGCCCACATCACAGATGACCTTTCCAGAGGGTTCCCAGACTGGGCCTCCCGGCTGGCAGGCAGGAAGTCCCTCCTGAAGCCTGACCCCACTCCCTCCTGCTGTGGCGGCAGCTTGGTCCCTGCGCCCCCGAGCTGCCAGGCTCGCCCCTCTGCAGACACAAAGAATCTGCGTTTGACTAAGACAACCCAGCTTTGCAGAGGGAAGACTGGCCGAGCAAGGTTGATAGCTGAGTATCAAGCTCTTGTCCTCAGCCCAGCACAGAGAGGTTGCCTGGCCCACCCAAGGTCACACAGCAGGGCTGGGACGAAATAGGGTTTGGGCCCAGGTGGTCGCCCTGAGCGTCGAGCCGGTGCAGCCGTCAGCCGAGGGCAGCCGTGGGCCATGTGTCTGCAGCAGGCGGCCTGTGGGGGGGTGGGGGGAGTAGAGGCCTGGGTGACCCGCCCTGTGTCTGTCCCCAGGGCCCCGGTCCTCGTGGCACTGGCGCTCATTGAGAGCGGGATGAAGTATGAAGATGCCATCCAGTTCATCCGACAGTGAGTGGCGGCTGCTGGGTGGGGTGGTTGGTGACAGCTCAGGGGTCCAGGTTTAAGGGGTTCCCCAGTCCCATGCAGCCTCATATTGTGGTTCCAGTGCACCCAACTGGCGGTGAGGGCCCAGGGCCACGTTCCCTCCCCCTCCTCCTGGGGTAGGAGTAGGGTGAGGGGAGGGTGAGGGGAGGGGGAGGGGAGGGTGAGGGGAGGGGGAGGGGAGGGCCGGGCTGCTCCCACCTCTGGGCTGTGGTCCCTCAGCCCCCTGTGAGTCAGGACAGGCTGGGCCGTGCTGCAGTAACGAGCCGGCTCCTCCCGGCCACTGGGAGCCACACAGGTGTCCCCGCTCATGAGACCTGTCTGGTTGCCAGTCGCTGGGTCACAGGGAAAAGCATGGTGGAGCCTCGCCTGGCTCATGCGTGTCTCTTCCACTCACATGTCATTGGCCAGAGCCAGTCCACGGCCCCGTTTGCGGTCCTGGGCGTAGGGATGGGGGCCACACCCCGCCACTTGGGGTCCCTCCCTCCCGCCCGATGGCAGATCTGAGATTTGTCCCACGCCACCCCTTGGCCCTCAGGAGCCCATGGCCTGGAGGTGGGCTGCTACCTGGGTAGACAGGGGGGCCTTGGGAGTGTGGGGACCATGGAGGTAGTGAGGTCGGGGGGTCGGCTGGGAGGAGGTGACAGCCAGGCGAGTTGAAGGCAGTGGGGTGGCAGCAGGTGACGGGGAGGGTGATCTGGGCGGTGGCCTGGACTCCTGGGCCCGGCACTCCCTGGGGCAGGGCAGGTGGCCGAGCCTGGTCCCACCCGATTCCCACCCTGTCCCTCTCCCAGGAAGCGGCGCGGAGCCATCAACAGCAAGCAGCTCACCTACCTGGAGAAGTACCGGCCCAAGCAGAGGCTGCGGTTCAAAGAGCCGCACGCGCACAGGACCAAATGCTGCGTCATGTAGCTCCGCCTCGGGCCCGGCCCGCCCTGCCCCTCTCTTCCTGGGCCTCAGAGTCCACACCCCCGTGAGGGGCCAGCCTGGTCCAGGGACCCCACGGGGTGACCTGTCCCCCTCCCCCCAGGGCATCGCCCTCACGGTGGGGCTGACGGCGGTCCGCCACCTGGACCACGTGTGGGCCGCGCCCGAGGGCCCCCGCACCTCCATCTGGCCTTCCCCCCCCCCCCCCCCCCCAGCCCTGGCACCTGGGCGGGCCTGCCTCCCGGGCCCAGCCCCGCCCGAGCAGGCCTGCTGTCTGTCTGTCTCCCTGTGTCCATCCGGCTGTCTGCCACTTTCCGGATCCATCCTCCCTTTGTCCCGTCTCCATGCTCTGTGTCCCTCTGTGCCGTGTCTCTCTGTCTCCGTGTCCTGTGTCTGTCTCTGAGGCTTGGTCCAGGGCCATGTTCCTGGCCTTCCTGCCATCACCTTCCTGGCTCTCCCTCCCCGCCTCCCCCTTCTGTGGGGGCAGGTGTACTTTTAAACCACTGGGCTGACCCCTCCTCCGCAGCCCTTGTCCTGAGCTGTTCTCAGCCCCTTGGATTCGTGGGTCTGAGGGTGGTCAGCTGTTCTGGACACTTGAAGGCAATAAAACAGGACCCTGTGCTGTGTGTGTGTGTGTGTGTGTGTGTGTGTGTGTGTGCGCGCAGAGGGGGGGCAGGGCCGCCAGGTGGTGGGGTGCCCCAGAGGCCAGTGTCCAGGCTGCACTGCGGCGCCCTCTGGTGGCCATGCTGGGTCCCTGCGCTCCCTAGCTTTCGGCCTGGGGCTCCTGGTTGCCATGTGGATGTTTTGGGGGCTGGAGTTTAGAAGGCGGGGCCGGGGCCTGGTGTCCGGTGGGTGACTGCCCGGCTCTGCCCACCAGGTGTCCTCATCTCAGACCTAGAGGTCCAGAGGGTGCGGGTGATGGTGGCTGGTGGCTCAGGGGGAGGGGGTGACCAGGTGCCGTGGGGGAGCGGGTCTGAGTGTGCGGGGCCTGTCCAAGGGCTGCTCAGCACTCTTGCGTGTGGATTTTGCAGACAGACCAGGCCTCCCTGGCTGAGGACGAGGTGCCTGGAGGTCGTGGACACAGCTGGGGGAGGGGTCGAGAGCTGGGCTGGCGGGCAGGGGGGTGGTCTGCCCCAGGACCCTGCTCCCCAGGGACTGTCACTCGCCTTCGGACACCCCCAGAGGTCTTTACTGACCCTTCTCTCCCCGTCGCTGGGACCTGCTGGCTGGCATAGGAGCCCCGGGCCCTGCGTCCAGGCTGCCTCCCACCTGCATCCACCTTCCTGGCCTCCCCTCGGGGCCCGCCTGTCTGGGCCTCCCTCTGCCACACCCTGCACCTTGCACCCACTCTCAGCTCCCAGGCCCTCAATTCTTCCCCAGGGAGGAGGTGGGCCCAGGAAGGTGGGCCCCTGGGCACATGGCGAGGCCCTGGGAGGGACACAGGCCCCCAGGAGCCAGGTGCTCCCACCTGGGCACATTCTGCTCGGACTCAAAAGGGGGGCCCTGTGGCTGCACCTCTGGGGGCCCTGGGTGGGGGGCAGACAGGGACTCAGGCCTGGCCTCTCCGCCCCTGGCTTGCTGGGTGCGGCCTGGGCCAGCTCCCCCGCCTGGCTGTGCAGAGCCCGGCCACCGTGCGAGGCCGGAACTGAGCTGCTCCCCACGGCCAGACTCAGCGTCTCTGGCCTCAGTTTCCCGAGGGGCTTGTCCAATCACCAGTGGCTCCAGGGACCCCATCCAGTACAGGCCCACCAGCTCCAAGCTTCCCTCACCCTGGCTTTCTGGAGGGACAGTGGCTGGAGGCAGCGAGGAGGCCTGCCTGCCCCACCCAGAGGCCAGCAGGGAAGCCCCCTCACAGGGAGATGGCACCCCCACCCCGACCACACCCGCCAGGCTGGACCTTCCTCCCCAGCCCCTCGGTCCGGCAGGAGGGCACCCGCGGGCAGAGGTTGGTGGGCAGGGTGGGCGGAGTGGGACAGTGGAGCGGCCGCCCGGCCCTCCGCGGGGCTCCATGCGGAGCTGACGGGCGATGAGAAGGCGGGAAGGGTTCCCTCCGGCCCCCAAACACGCCGAGGACACGTAAACGCGTGGCTCCAGGAAGGTGGCTGTGTTTTTTCCACTTAAGGGTCGTTTTTATTTTTCAGTGACAGCTGACGTACAATGGGGTGTTAGTCCCGGTTGTGCCCCAGTGACCAGGCCTCACGTAACCTGCTACGCGATCATCCCGGTCACCCACACCCGCCTGACCCAGCCAGTCACTGGAATGTCACTGACTAGGCTCCTGTGAGCGACACGGGAAGGGATGGAGACGAGCAGGTGGACGGTTACAGACTAGTCACGGCATGAAGCCACTGTATTAACCCACCATCCAGGTTGGGGGGCCTCCTCTGTGCCAGCCCCGTGTGCCACACCCCTGCCCCGAGTGCCTCGCAGGACCCCAACAGGTGTGTGGGGGGGTGGCAGGCGAGGAGTTTGTCTAGGCCAGTGATAGCGAACCTATGACACGCGTGTCAGAGGTGACACGCGAACTCATTTTTTTGGTTGATTTTTCTTTGTTAAATGGCATTTAAATATAGAAGATAAATATCAAAAATAGAAGTCTTTGTTTTCCCATGGTTGCAAATATCAAAAAATCTCTATATGTGACACGGCACCAGAGTTAAGTTAGGGTTTTTCAAAATGCTGACACGCCGAGCTCAAAAGGTTCGCCATCGCTGGCTCTAGGCCCTAAGGCAGTGGTTCTCCAGGGAGTCAGGGACCTGCCAGGAAGGACCCCCTCTGGACTCAGCCTCTGAGTGGGGGGCCAGGCTGCTCTGCTGCCTCCCCCGGGCCAGGCTGCCTGGTATCCTCATCTCAGGATGGGGGTGACGGTGGAGGGGGACATCGGCCCAGGGACCCCTTCCTCATCGCCAGCCCCCTCCTTGGTAATTACGGGCTCCAAGCAGAGACACGCTGAAGACTGTGCAGCCGGAGCCCAGGGCCCCGGCGGCCGTGGTGCGGGCTCGGGCAGGAGGGGCTGTCCTTTGCAGGCCCGCACAGACTTCCGCTTGTCTCTGGAGGACCGGCCTGTCCTGCCCCTCACCCGGGCCTGGCCCTGTCCCCTGGTCCTGTCAGTGTCCCCTGGGGGCCCAGGGAGGGTGGGCAGGGAGCTGACAGGCGTGACGCTTCTTTGTTGAATCTAGATCTTTCTTTCAAATGAAAAAATGTATGCTACCAAACTCTGCCGGCAGGCTGACCAGGTGGTGGCGTTGGGGGGGGAGGGGTGAGGTGGCGGAGGTCACTGCCGTCGGGCGGCCAGCTCTTGGAGGAAGCGGCTCTGGCTGGTGGCGAAGACCCGGACGCCGGGCTCCCGGTCCTTTTTGAGGTTTTCGAAAGCTCGGGGGGGAGGAGGGCCCAGTCAGGGGTGACCGGCCGTGCAGGCGGAGGGCCCTGCCCCTGGGTGCGGGGTGGGTGCGGGGTGGGTGTGGGTGGCAGGATGGGCCCAGGCCCCCCCTCCTCCGCCTTCCAAGCCGGCGGGGCTTCCGTCCCCAACCCCACCCACTTCGGCCCGAGGTTGCCCACCAGAGCCAGGCCCCGTCCCAGGTGGGGCCCATCCCAGGGGGCGTGGCCCCGTCCCAGGTGGGGCACATCCCAGGGGGCGGCCCTGTCCCAGGTGGGGCCCATCCCAGGGGGCGGCCCTGTCCCAGGTGGGGTCCATCCCAGGGGGCGGCCCTGTCCCAGGTGGGGTCCATCCCAGGGGGCGGCCCTGTCCCAGGTGGGGTCCATCCCAGGGGGCGGCCCTGTCCCAGGTGGGGCCCATCCCAGGGGGCGGCCCTGTCCCAGGTGGGGCCCATCCCAGGGGGCGGCCCTGTCCCAGGTGGGATCCATCCCAGGGGGCGGCCCTGTCCCAGGTGGGGCCCATCCCAGGGGGCGGCCCTGTCCCAGGTGGGGCCCATCCCAGGGGGCGCGGCCCTGTCCCAGGGGGCGGCAGGGGGCTGCTTACTGCACAGCAGCAGCTTCAGGTCCGCGTCGCTCACCACCTGGGACAGGGCCCGGGTGTGGTAGCAGGTGGTATAACCTAGGCAGGGGAGGGCATGCTGGCGGCGGCAGGGCTCCCAGGTGGGCGGCCTCCCTGTCTGCGTGGGGGCTCAGACCCACTCCTGCCCTTCCAAGGCCCCACCCCCCTTTTTCTTGCTAGTGGGCCCTGGCGTCCAGGTGCAGTGGTGTGCCCAGTGCTGGGTGGGAGGGCCAGGGTGCTCAGGCGGAGCAGGCTGCGGGTCCCCACGCGCGGGCGCCCCGGGCACCTAGGAAGAGCGCTGCCCAGGTCCTCATGCGGTGGCTGCAGCTGTGCAGGTAGCTGAGGGCCTGTGACAGGTGGATGCTGAACTCCTCCTGGCTCTGGGTCATCTGGCCCCGGACAGCGTGCCTGTCACTCGCTGGGACCTGCTCTCTGCCCCGCCTCCCTTCCGGCCCCTCGCCCCGCCCCGGCCCTTCAACCCAGACCCAGACACCCAATCCTCGCCCCAGGCCCCAATCCCCGCCCCAGGCCCCAAGCCCCGCCCCTCACCAGGCCCAAAAGCCACGCCCCCGCCCAGGCCACGCTGTAGGCCCCCGAGCTCCGCCCCCGCCCAGGCCCCTCAACCCCGCCCTGCCCCCGCCCCCTGCCCCAAGCCCCGCCCCAGCCCCCAAGCCCCGCCTCTCACCAGGCCCCAATCCCCGCCCCTCACCAGGCCCAAAAGCCCTGCCCCCGCCCAGGCCCCGCCCAGGCCCCCAAGCCCCGCCCCGCCCCCCCTCACCAGGCAGGACCAGAGGAAGTGGCGCGCGCTGAGGCCGCGCTCCCAGGCCAGCGCGCAGAAGAGGGTGTGCGGCAGCCGCCAGCGCAGCAGCGCCGCGCAGCGGTAGAAGGCGAACCGGGCCCGCTGCAGGGACGGCAGGGAGCGGTCACGCCGCCGGGGTCTGAGCCAGAGGCCCGGGCTGAGGCGGGGTCTGGGGCAGCCGCAGGGTGCGCTGTCCCTCCTGGCTCCCGGCTCCCTCCACTGCCAGCCGGGGTGCCCCCTCCTCCCAGCCGCCCCCGCCGGGCTCCTCCCTGTCCCCTGGGGAAACCAACGCAGGAGCCACACCTGCTGCTCCAGCGGACCCATCGCCCGGCGCACCCCGCCCCCCGGGTCCCCAGCCCCGCAGGGCAAAGGCCCACCCACAGGCACTGACCGTGGCGACGGCCGGGCAGCGGTCCCGCAGGTGCAGGAGCAGCGGCACCAGGCCCTGGTGCACCTGGGTCCGCAGGCTGCTGGGCTCCCTGCCCGCCATCGCTGCCACCAGGTCCCCGAACAGCGCCATGGCCGCCGCCCGGACCGCGTCCCGCTCCTGCAGGCCAGCGGCACGGCGTCACGGCCGAACCTGCCGGGGGCCCCGCCTCCACCCGACTTGGGGCTTCCCCGCCCCGGGTGGCCTGGGGCTCAGCTCCTCAGCGGGACGCCATCCCCCGGCTGGCTCGGGGCTCCCGAGGCAGGGCAGGGCCTCCCCCTCTACAGGGCCCGTGGGCGCTCGCTCCCGGGCCAGCCCCAGGCGCGAGAGGTCAGTGCTGCCACTCGGCCGCGTCCTGACCACCCGGTGCCACGCGTGCGTAGCGGGACGGGCGCACCTGCTAACC